CAATGCAATGAACCCATATACAAAAACATAAACTGTTCAGGTGAAGAGTTAATGGTGAAATCAGCAATGTGAGAAGGAAATAACAGTATCTGAGCATCATAGTATCACAGCATTTACAAAAGTCCATATTATGGCTATAATTTTTTTTTCTTTCTTTGATAATTAACTAATATTTTATTCAATAGTACAAAAAGATTGCTTTAATTAATTAATTATTAATTCGTTACATTTATATAGAGCTTTTCTGGGTACTCAAAGCGCTTTACATGAATCTCCTCAACCACCACCGATGTGAAACATCCACCTGGATGATGCGACAGCAGCCATATTGCGCCAGAACGCCCACCACACACCAGCTTAACTAATATTTTAAAAGATTGTTTTCAAGACTACAATCATTTATTTCAGAGATATAATCTCAAGTAAGTGTATTTTCCCTTACCTCTCAGGCAGAGTCAGGTAGGTGGTAGTGTGTTTCCAATACATTCTTGTTCTCTCTCAACAACGCTCTAACATCACACACAGACAGCAACGCAATCTTGCTAAGCTGTGTCCTATCTGAACCTCTTTTGCTGTACCTCTGTCATTTTCTGTGGGTCTCTGGAATTGTCTGTCAACAAACTTCATTCTGGCCATTGCTTCTCAGTCTACTCTTAGTATCTTGGGCTTGACTGAGACCTGGATTCGTCCAGAAGACTTCGCAACCCCTGCTGTTCTCTTCCCTTTCTCTCACACCCCCCGTCAGGTTGGAAAGGTACTGGTCTTCTCATTTCTAATAATTGGAAATACTCAATTATGCTATTACGGTAACAGCTCCTGTTAAACTCCATATTGTAATGATTTATTGCCTTCCTGGTCAACTGAGCACCTTTATAGAGGAGCTGTATGGGCTGCTGTCCTCATTCACTGTGGATGGCAGTCCACTTGTGGTCTTTGGTGACTTCGAAATCCATCTGGAGAAGCCTTACACTGCAGACTTCCACTCCTAGCTTCATTCGATCTCAAATGGCTTACCACCACAAACACTAACAAATCAGGCAACCAGCTTGATTTAATTTACACATGCAATTGAATCACAGACAACATTTGGTAAAACCTCTTGACATCTCTGCACATTTCTTTATTACATTTAACCTACATATTACTACCTGTGTGCCACCAATTCCTCTACCAGTTACTTTTTGGCAAAACCCCTTTCACCTTTCACCCTTCCATCTTTGCTCTGTAGTGTCATCCTCTCTTCCCTCACCCACCCATTTCGGGATGTACCCAGTGCATAATACCCCTTCTAACCTAAAAATTTGCCCTATGTATCATCATCTTTACTGTATTTTTGCTGAGCAGTCTTTTGGGTGGCTCACCAATGTACTAAATTTCTCAAATACAAAAAATTAAGTAGGCTTGACCAAACTTTTTGTGGGGAGAAGAATTTATTGAAGATGGTAGTGTAGCAGTCTTCCTTCAAACAATTTTACCCTTGTACGAATCCTAGCTTCTCCCAAAGTTCTGTCTGTGGGATATAATTTTATACCTGAAGATAAAAGGGCTAGAAACAACAGATACTGTTAGGATCTTCCCGCTGGAGATCCTGCAATGTACAAGACGTTCCTGAGGAATGCTGTTCCTTTGTTATTCTAATGGCATGGACCATTTTGTTCACACCTTTATAGACACAGTTACATTATTTCTTTCACAGAATGACCAACTGAACTTTAACCAATCAGGTTTCAGCAGCGGCCATTCAACTGAGACTGCTTTGCCGTCGGTCACTGTAGTCCTGCAGATAGCGAAAGCTGATTCCAAATCATCAGTTCTTATTCTGCTGAATCTGCCACTTTTGACACTGTGAATCATCAGATTATCCTGTCTGCCATCACTGGATCTGCACTCCGCTGGTTTGAATCTTATCTCACAGGTAGGTCTTTCAGGGTTTCCTGGGGAGAAGAGGTATCCAAAGAACATCAACTGGCCACAGGGTTTCCTCGGGGATCAGTTTTTGGACCCCTCCTCTTCACCATATACACTACATCACTGGGACTCATTATACAAGCACATGGTTTCTCCTACCATTGCTATGCTGATGACACACAGCTCTATCATTAATTTCAAACAGACAATCCAATAGTAGCTGCATGGATCTCAGGCTGCCTGGCAAACATCGCGGCATGGATGAAGGAACATCACCTGCAGCTCAACTTGGCAAAGACTGAGCTTCTTGTTTTCCCTGCCACTTCGACTCTACAGCATGATTTCATCATCCTGCTAGGTTCATCAAAAATTATTATTTTGGTGACCAGCTGACTTTCAAGGACCATATTGTAAAGACAGCTCGGTCATGCAGGTTTGCATTGCAGAACATCAGGAGAATCAGGCCCTTTCTAACGGAGCATGCTGCACAACTTCTTGCCCAGGCCCTTGTCATTTCTAGGCTGGACTATTGCAATGCTCTTCTAGCTGGACTTCCATCATGCGCAATCAAACCTCGACAAATGTTTCAGAATGCAGTGGCATGACTACTTTTCCATGAGCTCAAAAGGGCCCACTTCACACCTCTCTTTATCTATCTTCACTGGCTACCGGTTGCAGCTCGCATCATGTTCAAGACATTGATGTTTGCGTACACCTCACTCTTACGCATCTACATCCCCTCCAGAAGCCTGAGATCTGTAAGTAAGCGATACCTTGTGGTAACATCACAGAGAGGCATTTTCGTTCACCTTTCCTGGCTGGTGAAATGATCTTCCCAAAATCGCAGTAATTAACAGAACACCAGACACGTTATCTGACAGCAACACTAATTTAATCCCATACCCGACCCAATTGACATAAAAACTGGGACCCGAACCGCACCCGTATTAAATCTCCTACATGAGGTAGACAAAACTCACTTATTAACACTTTTATTCAAATTGTGAATAGATTAAATACAGAAAGCAAGCAAAGAGTGCTCCCTTTAATATAATCACCACAGA